ACGAAGCATATAACGAATAAAGATATGAACAAATGGCGCTGCCTCGAGACCTGACGGGCAACTCTAACATATATTTTATAAAAATTGAATGATTAATCAATTGCATCGTTTTTATTTTTACAAATAAATCATCCATACTTCAATCTAAATTTTGTTTAAGAATAAAAAAATAATCGCTAAATTTTTTTTGGTAATTAATATCAAGCTTCCTTTTTTAATGATCCATTTTCTTGTAGTGATAGGTCAAGCCAAATTCGAGCTACGCAACACCAACAATTACTTATAAATTTGTCTGAACTCGCGCTCCAAAATTAAGGCTGGTTCCTCCCCTGCTTCTAATTAAGGCTTAATCAAGCTTTGTAGAATTGACTAAGTTGATAATGATGCCCTTTAACTATGCTATTAAAGCTTTGTCTATAATAGGGTTTAACTAATTATATATTTATTTTTAATAATTTAAACTCATAACCAAATAATTAAGCATAGATTATTATAGATTTTAATTAAATTTGATATATTTATTTATTATTATTTTAAATATTTTTTAAGTTCATTTATTAATAATAAAATAAAATTAGATATTAATTTATATATCCTATTATTTATTTCATAATTTATCATCTATAATTTGATTGTACATATGATATAAATATCTAAAAAAATTAATCAAATAAATCATTAGGTTATAAAATGAGGAATTTGACAATCAAATCTAAACAATTTATTCATTCAAGTTTTTTTTTTTGGTTCAAGTTTTTATCGTTTAAAAGAATATATGTTCATGTTTGGATTTTATTTGGGTTATGTTTGATTCATTTATGCTTATCGAGCTCTAAACAAACGAGTCTTATCGAATGCATTAACAAACAATCATATAGAGCCAATCACGAACATATTTACAGAGTGATTTCAATCTACCAAACGAGCATGTTCACGAATAAACAAGCTAATAAAATGATTCTTCTTATAAACAAGCTTGTTCATTAATACTTTAAACAAAAAATAATGCAAAAATAAATAAACACCTCTTATTCATGAACAAAATCATAAGGAAAATGAACGAAATTATTATAATGAATTTGTTCATGAAAAAAAAACCATTATAATGAAATAGCTTAACATAAAAAATGTAAATATTTTGTTTATATAATAAGAAAATTTTATTATAATAAAACTAAAAATTATGTGAAAATTTATAAAACAAAGATTTAATCAAGCTTCTTATCTTGCCTGTTCACAAGCTTTAATTCATTTTGTTTATGAGTATAAACGAGTTGAACACATATGTATTCATGTTTGTTTATTTAATAGTTAATATTTTAAAAATTGTTCAAACTTGTTTGATTACTTAAATAAACGATCATGAACGAGCTGTAATTAAGCCGAGCCACGAGTAGCTTGTCCAACGCTCAGTTCATTTGCAGCTCTAATTTTAAGTTTCATGCTTAGAAAAATATAATTTGAAGGAAAAGATTTGTTGTCCTGAATTTTGTATTACAAACTTTGTGCAATATTTAAAACTAGAAAATAGTGAATAAAGAAAGAAAATGAATTAACCCTGATAATGAATGTTAATTTAATGCATATGCTAAATGAAAGAATATTAAAAAGAAAGTAAATTAACACTCATAACAAATGCCAATTTAAATGAACGAAATCATAAGGAAAATGAATTAATATCCACAATGATTGTCAATTTAATAAATAGACCAAAAGAAATAAAATTGAAAATGATGAATTTATTGATTTATTTAATTTCTCCAATATGCCTCGTCAAGATAGGAGTCATGTGAGATGACAACAATCTTGACACATATATTGCCAAGTTGATGACGAGAAAGAGGTTTGGTAAGAGCATGAGTAAGCTGATCATTACATGAGTGATACAAATGTCATAAATTTGCACTGTTTCTTGAACGAAGTGGAAGTCAATGGCGATGTGTTTCATATGTAAATGAAAATTTGGGTTTGCACATAAGCATGTTGCACCGAATTATCCTAGTAGGCTCTTGGTGTTGTGGGTAGAGAGGCACAAAGCTCAAGAAGTAAAGATTTAGCAAAGTAATTTCAGTAGTGACTGAGCTTCAAATAGTTCACACGGGTTCAACTACTCTATCCTCTCATACTACAACTTTTACCTTAAAAATTTTGTATGTGTTCCATCAATGAAAAGAAGCCTTATATATGTTTCACAACTTTGCTCTACGCACAATGTCTCTACTCTCGATTGAGTTCTTACCCCATTCTTTTCATGTGAAGGACAAATGCTCGGGAAGTATATTGATGCAATATACAACTAAAAAATGATGTTTATGAGTGGCCCCGATCATCATCTAAGAATATACCAATGTTTGTCTTCTCAACAACAAAAGTCTATAGTGATATGCGACATCATCATCTTGACCATTTATCAATTAAGATTTTACATCACTTAGCCTCTCGCTATAATCTATCTCGATTTGACTTGACCACTTTGTTTTTTCATTGATTTCAAGATTTTTGTGCCATGAAGCTAGCTTTAAAATAAGTTACTTTCTCCAAAATAATTTCACAATCAATTTTATATAAAACTGCAGCCATCTCAAACTGATCTTTAATCTTACCTTTTGGGCCAGTTTGGAACTACTTTTTTATTGTTTTGATTTTTAATATTGTAATTCTAATTCCATTTGATTTTTCTCTCTTGCTGTTTTCTCAAAAATTTCTGAATCTATGTTTTACAATCAAATATATTAATGTCTAGGACTTGGAAGAAAGTTATTGTTCAACTTTTCAAAAAAAATAAAAAAAAAATCCTCACATCGCCTTCATAATTATCTTAAAAAAATTTTACATTCTACCCAAACAAATTCTATGCTACATTTTCCTATTTATAATAAGAAACGCTTACATTTTAAATAAATCTTCAAAATTATGCTATAAAAAATTGATGATAAACCATTCACCTATTTTGAATTCGCGTTTCAATGATCATAACATGCTGATAAATATAATTTAATAGATATTTAACCATTCAATTTTGTTGTTTCCTAGAATATTTGTGGCGGTGGAGAGAGCTTTGACGAATATCCAACGCACAGACATATAAGAGAGATGAATGCAAGTGTCATAAGCGACACAAATTTTTACATTGAAAATCCTAAAAAAGGGATAAATTCATGGGCATGGCCTAATTGAAAAGAATTCACTATTATTTTTAGTTGACTACAAATGATGCTTTTCTTGGGGGAAGGCCTTGGCTCAATATAGAGAATATACATTATACAAAGCACATTATATGGTGGGACTTAGAAGAATCTAGTGATATGAGAGTTGTTCTCAAGAGAGTGTTAACCGGTTTGTTTGGTCTGTAGGATCGTAATTCGACAACGATGGTTAGAGGGATAGTAGTCGACGGGCGAGCAACAGAGGTTTGAGGGACCATAATCAGCGGGCGATTCTGCAGGGGTGACGGAGGTCATAGTGATTGTAGTTGGTGGGTGACAATGGTCAGAGTGATTGTAGCAGTGGGTGACGGAGATCGGAGGGATCGTAATTGGCAGGCGATAGTGATTTGAGGGACCTTAGTTAGTAGGGGATCGAGAACGCAATGACTGTAGTGGCGGACGACGAAGGTCGAAGGGGCAGTAGTCGCCGGGTGATGGTGGTTGGAGTGGTGTGTCGATGGAAGCTAAGCGTAGGTCTGATAAAGGTTTGCGGCCGATCAAAGCTCAAATGGTGATTGATAGATGATTGGTGGTCCGACGATGGTCGACGGCCAAGCGTAGGTCCGGAGGAAGTTGACGGTTGAAGGACTAGCGTAGGTTTGATGATGGCCTGCGAACAGGCTGTAGTCCTAAGACTGTTAACAAATAGGCGATAGTTCAGCGACTGTCGGCAGATGAACAGTGGTCTGACGACTGTCTGTGGACGGGCAGTGGTCCAGTGACGGTCAACGAGAGTTCGTCGACGTTGGTACTTGGGTTGAACTCTAGGATCTTTGAAGCCTCAAAGCTCTATCTATTCTTCAACCAAAAGGACGCTTCTTGAATAGAGCATTGGCCTATTTATAATTTTTTTTTTTCCGAGCGACACTTCCTGTAAATATGGAGAAGATCCAGGGTAAGTTCGTTGTGCTTCAACGGATGGCCTAAAATGATACCCTCAATCATGGAGAGTTCTTGTAGCATTTATATGCCTTATTGATGTTGGAAATAAGCAATCTTAGGCTCGTTGGATTCATCTTGTTGAGCTGCTAAATTCGATTATAACAAGCTTTATTTGAACATCATCTGATCATCTAATTAATGCTTTAAAGCTTTCAACTATGCTTTGGTCTCTTGATTTGAACCTGTTTTGCTCAGATTAAACCGATTTTGCTATCGTTGGTTCGTCTCCTTCTGATGTTCAATTTGACTTTAGGTTTGCTGAAATTGGGATGAATATGCCTCGAGATTCATGCCCGAGCAAAGCTTTTTTTGTTGAGGTATCAACTCCTATTATTATTGATGAAATAAATCGAATTGGAGATTATAAAATTGTTGATGAATGATGGTTAAAAAGCACAAATGCCTCCACAGTCTTTAACATCACAATCTCAACAATGTTTTAGTTAGAAGACAAACAACTGAACAGTCACTTAAGTGAATATGACAAAGGACAAAGATTACTAAAAAAAGGAAAAAAATTCTATGGAGCCCGCTCATCTCGGCTCAGAACAGGAAAACCTTTTCTTCTTTCTCAAGCCAAAAGCAGAAATGCCCACCTTTGATCGCGCAATTCAGCAGAATTAAAACCCAAAGCCAAAGCTGTAGACCTCTGGTCTTATTCGCCTCCAAAACCTCCTTTTTTGAATCCCAATTTGAACCCTCCCTAATGTCCTCATTCATGGCCGCCAGGAGCCTATATATAACGACTTCGCTCTTTCCCAACCCAAAGAAACCAGCTTTCTTCACCAAAGAGAAGAATTGAGATCATTCCGCCATCACTCATAACTCAACCGTCTAGCTTTGAGCTCGGCCATGTCGACATCAGCGCCGCCAGAAGCCGGAGACGCCATCCCCGGTCTCTCCATGTCCGTCACCGGCAAGGTCATGTTGTCCGGCGTCATCGTCTTCTTTTTCCTCTTCGTCTTCCTCCTCATTCTCTTCCTTCGCGCTAACCGTTACTTGGGTGCTAACCCCATCCTCGCGAGTTCCCCAGCCCGCTTCCTATTCCCCTCCCCCGTCACCGTCGGCTCAGCGTTGCCCCGCCGTGCGATCGATTCCGCCATGCTCAGCTCGCTCCCAGTCACCGTCTTCAACTCCGCAGCATTCAAGGACGGCATGGAGTGCGCCGTCTGCCTCACTGAGCTTGCTGACGGCGACGCCACTAGGTTTCTTCCTGGTTGCCGCCATGTCTTCCATCTCAAGTGCATCGACATGTGGTTCGCCGCCAACTCCACCTGTCCAATCTGCCGGAGCTCCATCAAGCCGGCGGCCGTCGAATCGAAAATTACGATCTTAACCGACTCGGAGCAGAGTTCCATTATAAATATTAGGGCTTCACCGCACGAGATAGTTATGCCGATGGATGGTTCAGGAGAATGAAGCTCGAGCTCCGTCTGCTCTGTTACGAGGAAGCCCAGTCGAATCATGTCCATCGACATACCGAGAATTGCATTAGAAAGCTCCGATTTTGCATTGCATTCGAGTAGGATTTTTCGGCTGTGGAGGTAAAGTCGTCAAATTTGAGGTCGCTGAGAAGCATGTTGAGCATGGGAAGCAGGTTCAGCTCTGATTCTAGCTCTAGAGGATAGGATATTGAGCAGGGAGCGGCGTCAGCGGTGTCGGCAGCCGGAGTTGGACCAGATGGAGAGGTTAGCACATCAAACAAGAATTCTGCAAGAGATTTGAGTTCGGTCGAAGAGGTATTTTTTTATGGAAGGGGTAAAGGCGATTGTTTTGATGTAATGGTAAGGGAGGAGCTAAATATTTTTATAAATTAAAAAAACCATTAAATTTATTTTTATATAAGTGCAATATAAATTTAACTAATTCTCTCTAAAACACCTGAGAAAATAAAAGTAATTTTTTTTAATATTGATATATCTTTAGACGCAACTATTGAAATTTCATTAAAAATTTTAAAGTTAAGCGTGCTCGGATATGAGTACTTCTAAGATGAGTGACCTCTTAGAAAATTTCACCAATGATATAAAACTGTAAGGTCATTAGGTTAAAATGAACAATATCTCAACAGAAAGTTAAGTGTGGTTGCATGGAGAGATTATTACGTGCAGAGTTCGAATCCAGAGGACTATTCAGTTTTGTGTTTGTGAACAGTAAAAGCACAATAAAAGCGCAGTGGTGAACAGTAATTGTACTTTAGTTGTTCACTCTCACACAACTAAATGGTTCTTCGGGTCCGGACTCCGCACATAATAATTTATCTCTTGTATGTGAACACTTCTAGGATGATGCGTATTCCTCGGAAAGTACATCAACGAGGCCAATATTGTGTGCACATTGAGAAAAATTATTTTGAGCGGACACTGACGTCTAAGGACCAATACAAATGCACCACGCTATTCTTTTGCTGTACCACGGCTCGGTACTCTGTACCAATAGGTACCACTCAGTACCGTGGCGTCCAGCATCCACAGAATAATTTCTCGCACATTGATGGAAAGGTCACATAAATTTTGAGAAAGATAATATTATTTTTAAGTGTTTTAACAATATAAGTTTATATTTACTTTAAGGATAAGATCCAAAAGAAACTGCCGCTGGTCATTTCAGCAGTTGCATCGTTTTCACTCTGATCTCCATATTTTGATAAGGATTGACAACTAAGGTTATTCTTAGGTGAAATATTTCAATCAATCATCTCTCTCATTTTGGACGATTAGAATTTAAAATTTAAAACCACTTAGATTTTTTTTTTTTTTTAAATCAGTCAGATCTTCGGTTGATTAAGGAATTCTTTATTTCTTTTCTCTGTTTTATTTTCAAATTATTATGATATTTTTAATGAGCTTATATCTTTTTTCATTATTTTTCCTAAATTTTTATGTTTGTTCGCTACAATGTTGGATTCATCTAAAAATAAATTTAAAATTTTAATAATCCAAGGCACAAAACTTGTGAGGAAAGATAAAAGGAAGTGAAAATGAGAAATAATTTATAGTTCAAAATTTGAATCTTTGTTTGTTGTTGAAAAAAATTATGTTAAGATATTCTGATATGGGCTTAAAAGATTTGAATTTGCAATAAAGTTATTATAATCTTTGGATATTATATATAGAACTGATATATCATTAAAAAATTATGTTGATCAGATACGAATCTCGAAACAAAATCAAGATTAGAAACTTCAAAAATTAAATTGGAGACTATTTGAACTCCGATTTAAGCAAACTTTTAGTCGAACTGAACGCCTCGGAAATACGAACCCAATGACATCAAATTCGATTCAATCCAATCTCATACGAGTCCAAATCAAAGACTCGAAGCACATTTGGAAGGTTCAAATCATAATTTGGATTATCAAATAGTTTCCAAACATGACATGCTTATAGTTAAATCGAACGGCTCAATGAGACGAATCCAACGAGCCCAAGATTGTAAAATTCTGATATCATTAAGACATTCAAATGCCTAATAAACGGTTCACGATCAAAGGTTTCAACATCGGCCGTCCTTTCATAAAACTCCCAATTTACCCTGGAGAAGAGAAGGCCCAAGCAAGAAGATGAAAAGAAGGCCCAAGCAAGGAAGAGAAGAAAGAGACTCCTCCTCGACCACTATGAGACTTTCACCTGGCAGACTACCGATGTCTGAATTCTGCCTAGCGCCGACTAACGTCAGACTTTTACTCGACGTTGGACCTTTGCTCGTCGTCGGATTTCTACCTGACGTCAGACTTCTACCCAACGATGAACTTCTGCCCGTCGTTGGATTTTCGTCGGACTTCTATCCGACGCCAGACTTTGGTCCATCGCTAGACTTATACCTAACGCCAGACTTATGTCCATCGCCGGACATTTGTCGAACTTATATCTGACAATGGACTTCTCCCTGACGTCGTTTTTCCGACCTCCGTCATTAGACAACGGTCTTTATGATCTCCGTCACCCGCCAACTACGATCTTTCCGACTTACGTTGTCCATCGACTACAATCCTTCTGACCAAAAAAATACATAAAGAGTGATTCTTTGTATTCCTGTCATGTAACATACTCTATATGATGTACATTAAGCTAAGGCTTTCCCCAAGGAAGGGCCTCATTTGTAATCAACTACAAATACTAGTGGATTCATTCAAAATGGGCTAGACCTTGTAGTTTTTTTTTTTTTTCCTTTTTAGGGGCTTTGCAAGTAAAAATCTTGGTATCTATTATAAATGATGCACCCTCTTTTTTCATCTGTGTGCGTGCTGGATCTTCATACGAAGCTGAGACGTTAAACTTTATATTTCTCTACAGCCGCGAATACTCCAGGAAGCAACAAGAACAAATCTCAACGCAAATAAAAAAAACTGTAGGCTTCGTTTGGGGCAGCTTTTTCCTTGATTTCTAAAACAATTTTCTAGTACAGAAGTTTTTAATGCAAAAAAAGCTTAGAAAGTCATCTCAAACTAAGGCTTCGTTTGGGACGACTGTCTTAATATTTCATAAAGAAGCTTTATAGTACCAAAATAAAAAATTTTATACTAAAAAAAATTGCTTTAAGAAGCAGAAAAAAATCGTTCCAAACGAAGCCTAAATGTTAATACAAAATGCAATCACACAATGAGTCCCACAGACCCATGAGATTATTCAAACTAATCCTTAAAAAAAAAAAACAGCACAAACTCACAATTTATCAAAACTAACTGCACGACTCTTAAAGCGCTGGCAAGATAGAATAGCATAACGAAAGAAGTCAATATCATGGCTAAAAATAAAATACTACTATGGTGGCTTCTCCAAGATATGCCATTAAGCATTAATTTGGTAACAAGATTTGGTGTCATGATTTATTCCAGATTATAATCAAAACATCTTAGTGGAAACTTTCCTAATTTCTTTTAAATATCTACTAAGTTGAAAAAAAAAATTTTACTTGGATTTTATTTGTAAAACTTTTTTAATTTTTTATAAAGCAATTTTTTAGTATGAAAAATTTTTTGAATAAAAATCTTTTATACTAAAACACTTTTTTAAAAAACAGTTAAAAAACTGCCCCAAACAAATCTTTATTGTGCACTTCATGGTTCATTTAAGTCTTCATAGTGGTGGAGTTTAGGGTAAGTCTAGTGAGAACAGTAGGAGCTATGGTAAGTCTCTGTTCTTGTGCCAACTAGATGGTAGTCAGAAAAAAAAAATTAAAAAATAATAAAAAAATAATAAAAAAAAATAAAAAAAGTAATATTTCTCCTAATAGTATTAATTATGTATATTATAATTATATATATATTATATATATATAAGAGGCAAGCAAATCAACTCCTAATGAATATGAGTATGAAGTAGATTAATTGGGTTGCCGTATGAGGCACACAATTGAGCGAATAATTGATGATTTTAGGCTTCTTATAATTTTTTAGAATCCTCTTCTCTTTATTATATTTCTTGATTGACGTAAATGCTTATCATCGTCAAGAAAATAATTCATTTTATCAATTTATGGAGAAATAAATCCATTCACTCAAATCACTAAAAACTAAAATGAAATTTGAGTTACTTACACTAATTAGAAGAAATCTCCGAAACAAAAATCGACATACTATAATATGCCAATACTCTTTTGCTATTCTCCCTCATCACTTTTTCCTCTCCTCTCCCTCCTCTCTTCTTTGCGGCAAGCCTCGGCAAATGAGTCGGTGGGAGAGGTGGTAAGAATATTTATATAAAATATATTAAAAAATATTTTTAGTGCCTAGCACGAGTACTAAGACTCAACACTACAGTACTGCATGTCTGAAATTAAGAATTACTGTAGAACAAAGAACAAACACGCAACTCATTTCTGACGCTGCTGTGCTTTCCAACTAATGCACAGTGCTTGAAAGCATAGAGCCGCCAGCACTCCAGATTCAATACCGAAATTTATTTATTTTAAACATTTTTAATACTTTCGATGTTATTACAACCTCTCTAACATAGATGATTAAAGATATACTAAAATATAAAATCATTTAAATTATATAGATCATATTAAGATTCTCTCTCAAATTGAAAGCCAGTGATAATTCCACAATTAGGGGGAATTGGATTATTCAATATTAGTACATATTCATTTCGTCATTGTTTTACATCTATAAGATTAATTGATAAATAAGCAGTGATGAGAATGATTATTGACTAAGAGCTTGAGATTATGATGAAGATAAAATCATCCATATATAAATTTGGATGCTAAGTAATGACATCCATACAACTGAAGCACATTGCATTGATGACCCTATTAAAAATAATTAAAAAAACAAAAGTAGAAGCACTAATTCCACTTTAAAAAGTAAGGGTGATGATGTGTGATACAAAGAAATCTCTTTAAGATATTGACTAATATGATGACTACTGAAACCATTAGCCACTTATAATCAACGGAACTAAATTTATTAATTAACTAAGGGTGTAAATTTCGAGTACACGTGGTCGTTTGGTTCGAATCAGAAACTAATCATGCACTATTCAGGTCAACCCGAACCATGCAAACGGTTCAGTTTTTCAGATCGAACCGACTCGCTTTAGGTCCTGGTCAACCCGACCGACCCGAATAAGCCTCGGTCGGACGAAAAACTGCATAGTTTTCGGGTCAAACTGGGTCAAATCACTTTTTGGGTAAAACGGGTCAATCTCGAGTTGCCGGGTCAAAAATGGATTTTCGGGTAAAAAATGAGTTATTTTCGGGTCAATTTGGGTCAACGGGTCAACCCGAACCGACCCGATTTTTTATAAGGTCGATATTGTTGAAACACAAACCCAACCAATTTCGGGTTCGGTGTCAACCCAAACCCAAAATTTGGATCGGAGTTTGGTCGTGGTCAATATTGACACCCCTATATTAACTAATGAAAAATTTTGTATTAGAATGTTCATTAATAATTAATTATGATGGAATTAAAAATTTTTGAATTATTTTGATTGTATTGCCTTAACTAATAAATAAATAAAGTTATAAATTAATCATAAGAAAATAATAATCTGAGAATTTGATGACGGCCATCACAAAATTAGCTTGATCGGGCACGGAATATCTCGAGCGAAACTAGTTGGAATTCAAAATTTAGATTCCGAGAGCACCCAACTCCGATTTCTAGCAAGCTTAGATCGAAAGTCTTGTAGCGTTCGGAAATACAATAAACGACACCAAATATTCGACATCGAGCAATGGTCGAATACATGACCCGAATGCTTGAGTGTTCAAACCGCAATTGATTACAAATCGGAGCTCCCGTATTTTGACGAACTTATACTACCGTAAGGGCTCGACGAGACGAATCCAACGAGCCCTAAGAATCACAGAATTCCAACATCACTAGGCCTTCAAATGTCCAATGAACTGGTGCACGAATCGTGGATTCAATATTCGGTCTCCATTTGACCACTCCCTATTCGCCCCTTATTCACGCCGTATGTTACGGGCCTGTCCACTCCATGGAAAATCTATAAATTAGATGGCCTCATTTCTCACAAGGGGATCCAAGCAAGAGAGAGAGAGAGGAAGAGAAAGAAGGAGTTCCTCCTTCGACATGCCCCGACACCGCCGGAACCACCCAGTAACCCTGCCGGACCACCGCCAGACCCACCGCATGGAATCTCGTCGGACCCGTTTCGGACCACGCAGTAACCTCGCCGACCACCCTTAAGGCCCGTACGTTCATCCCGACGTCTCCTGTCAAACCGGAGTCTTGTTCAGGCCCGACATCAGTCCCTACTATCTGCCAATAGACGCGTCGTTCTTGTTCAAGGCCTGACAATCAGTCTCTACTTGCCTCCAAAGACCTAATCTGATTCAAGGCGAACGTAAGTCCCGACGTCCTGCTTGAAGACCCGGCGTCCTGCTGAAACTGAATTTCCTGCTTAAGACCTGACATCCTACTCCAAGGCCGACTCAACATCGATCTTCCAAGTGACACTGGACTAACACCTGACTCGCTTATCTTCCTACCGCCTACGTCCTTCTGACCACGCGCGCCTAATACGGTTAGTCGATCCATCAACAGACAACAGGTCTCGTGATCCGGACTACGTCTCCTGCCAACTACTGTCTTCAGTCATAAAAAACCTTGTATATTGTAACTCTTACATTAATCAATCTATTATGATGTACGTTTGCTACATCATCCAATGCCTCTCCTAAGAAGGGCGCTCTTTGTAATCGATACAATACTAGTGTATTCATTCAAACCGTGGCCAGCCCCCATGCTGTTTTCCCCCTTTTTAAAGGGTTTCCACGTAAACTTTGGTGCTCTTAATGAACCTACACCTTCACTTAATATGATTGTGTGTGGATCTCTACAACAGCTTAACTTTAAACTTACTATATTTCTCTACGCCTGTGAATATCCAGGACGCATACAAGAATATTGTGACAAAAATTTCCTTAATTATTATGAAATTCACATAGTGCTTTTAGTTAAAATCTGTGCAATAAAAAAGATCAAAAAACACGATCCTAATAAATTAATCTGCCATAGAATGAAAAGCAATAGAAAAAATGCAAAGACAGCAGACCTCAATTAGATCTGTTAGTTGACAAACATAAATTGTAGCTTTCTATGTGAAAAGGAAGAACAAAAAGCAATACTAAAAGCATGCGTAGTTCTTCCAGCACTACTCAGTTTTTTTTTTTTTTTTAAATTTGACAACTTTAGATATTATTTAATTTGAGGATTGCAGGGCTAGAAATTTGAGTAGTAGGAATTAATATTTCAACTTAGCAGTGCAATAATGATTGAAGGGAAAATTTTTAACTAGGTTATAAAATTAAAATGTAAGTAAGTATTTGAAAAAAATAAATTTAAAAAATAGCAATCACCCATCAAACGGGCGACTTATGCTGACTCAGACTTGCTGAGTCATGTTCCAGTCGCCGAAATGACATGCGACTTATTTAAGAAAAAAAAATTACTATTGTAAGTTGCCCGTTAAACGGGCGACTTGCTACAGTAAATTCTGAAAAATAATTTAAAAATAAAATAAGTGAAAAATATATTAAATAAATATACTAGAAAAATAATTAAAGATAAAGACAAAAAAATGTAAAATTATGTTATTTACTTTCGAAGCTTGTGTTTAAGGAAAAACTTTGAATCATTATTTTTTTGTCACTTTACTTTTTGGTATAACGCCTATCCATTAAAAATACAAATTACAATTTTAATACTGTCAAAATAAATAAAATTATCAAAAGTTTGATGAATATATATTTTAAAATATTTACTTCTATTAAAATATAGAAATTATAGTTTACATTAACATTATATTTTTTTTTTTTGTTTTTCCTCTATTTTTTTATTTTTAATTATTTTTAAAGTATATTTATTTAATATATTTTTCACTTAATTTATTTTTAAATTATTTTTCAGAATTTACTGTATCAAGTCGCCCGTTTAACGGGCAACTTACGATAGTAACATTTTTTTAAATAAGTCGTATGTTAGTTCGGCGATTGAGACATGACTCGGCAAGTCTGAGTAAGCATAAGTCGCCCGTTTGATGGGCGACTTTGCCTGTTCTTAAATTTATTTATTTCGATACTTAATTACATTATTAAAATTTTAATAATACCTAGTTTAAAAATTTGTCCAAAGATTTAGCACAAACATATAAAAATGATAGTTCTAGAGAATTTTTTATGTGGAAAACCGGAAAGAGAAAAACCACAAAATTTGCCCTATTTGTAAAATTCACTATGTAACAAGTGATAAAAAATTTCTATTTTATCCACTGTCGAATGAGAGGAAGAGTATAAAGATCAAATATTTTATACTTAATAACATGGCTTAACTTTCCCAAGAGAAAATTTAGAAACTCGGTGTCCATACTTGGATAAATATGCCTAATCATATGGTCAAATCTTGTTGTTATTCTGGAGATGATGATTTCTGATGTTGATCGCGGTGATGATGGGGGAAATAACTGGTGGTTGGCCGCGAATACGATGGCTAGAAAATGCTATAGAGCTTTCTCTTGCTCTCCCTTCTCTCCCACCCCTCTTAGGTGTAGAATGAGGGTCTATTTATAAGTTTTTAAAAGTGATAGTCTCCATAAATATGGAGAAAATCAAAGGTAAATTAGAAGTGCTCCATCCAACGGTCCATATTGATTTCTTTGATCTCAAAGCTTCCATCAAGTATTAAAGTGACTTAATGATGTCAAAATTAAGTCATCTTGGGCTCGTTGGATTGGTCTAGTTGAGCCGCTCGATTCGACTATAAATATGCCATATTTGAAAATCATTTACTTAATAAATTAATGATTTTATTCTTCCAAATATGTTTGAGCTCCTTCATTCAAGCTCATTTGGCCTAGGATTGGATGGATTTTAGTGTCATCGTATTTGTCTTGTTGAAACATTCAATATATCTAGAAGTTTGCTAAGATCAGATTTTGGCTGATCGTAAATTGAATTATGAAGGTTTCTAATTCAAATATATCTCGAGATTTATATCATATCAATGTGATTTTTGATGACGTATTAGAGATGACATTAAAAACTTTTAAATTTGTATTGTGATCATAGCAGTTTATAAAGTTATATATAAACAATAATTTAACATAAATTTTTGTTCTATCAAGTATTTTTTTCTTGGCTAAATAAATGCACAAATTCGATCCATTAAAATTCTAAAACTTATTTTCACGATTAAAATAGTGCTTGATCTAAACTGACCCAAAATCTTCTCATACAATTTGTTTATTTTTTTCCAAGAAGCTAACGTTATCACACTTTTTGGGCGAATTATTACGTCCGGTGACCAGATGCGCCACGTCACCCAAATACATTGAGACCCGGTGTATTTTGATGACCTGACGCATCTAGATTAGAGTCCGGACGTATCCGGACACCGGACGTAATAATTTGCCCAACCATTGCCAGCAGGATCAACACAGGAGATGAAAAGAAAATGAAAGTATCAATTTTAAGTTTGAACTCTACCGTCATATTTCGTTGCTTACGACAATTAAATTCTTCTTTTGATTTGATCTCCACAAACTTCTTCTGACTTCCATTCTTTTTTAATTTTATTTTTGACAAAATTTTAATATAAACAAATTTCTAGCCATTGATTTTATTTTGTATCAAAATAAATTTAATGTTTTATTTTATAAAAATGATAAGTTCTTCCATTACATTTACCTCATAACAATCGACTTTCTCCCTTTCATATGAAATACCTCTTCGACCAAACTCAAATCTCTTACAAAATCCTTGTTTGTTGAGCTCCCCTGTCCATCTGGTCCAACTCCGGCTGCCGCCGCTGCCGACGCGGTCGACGCCGCTCCCTGCTCAATATCCAATCCTCTAGAGCTACAACCAGAGCTGAACCTGCTTCCCATGCTCAGTATGCTTCTCAGGGACGTCAAATTCGACGGCTTTAGATCGAAAGCTGCAAAAATCTTACTCGAATGCAGTGTAAAAGCAGAGCTTTCTAATGCAATTCTCGGTATGTCGATGGCCATGATTCGACTAAGCTTCCTCGTAACAGAGCAAACGGAGCTCGAGCTTCCTTCTTCCGAACCATCCAACGGCATAACTATCTCGTGCGGTGAAGCTCTGTTATTTATAATGGGGGAACTCTGCTCCGAGTCGGTTAATATGGTATTTTTCGATTCGACGGCCGGCAGCTTGATGGAGCTCCGGCAGATGGGACAAGTGGAGTTGGAGGCAAACCACCTGTCGATGCACTTGAGATGGAAGACATGGCGGCAACCAGGAAGAAACCTGGTGGAGTCGCCGTTGGTGAGCTCAGCGAGGCAGACGGCGCACTCCATGCCGTCCTTGAATGCTGCAGAGTTGAAGACGGTGACTGGGAGAGATATGAGCACGGCGGAATCAAGCGCGCTGCCGGGAAAGGCTGCGCCGACGGTGCCGGAGGAGTGGAAGAGGAAGCGTGCTGGGGAGCTCGCGAGGATGGGGCTAGCACCCAAGTAACGGTTTGCGCGAAGGAAGAGAATGAGGATGAAGACGAAGATGAAAAAGAAGACGATGACGCCGGATAACATGACCTTGCCGGTGACGGACATGGAGAGACCGGGGACGGCGTCTCCGGCTTCCGGCGGCGCTGATGTCGACATGGCCGAGCTCAAATTAAGCTCGACGCTTGAATTATGAGTGGTGGCGGAATAGTACCAAATTCTTCTCTTTGGTGAAGAAAGTTGGTTTCTTTGGGTTGGGAAAGAGCGTAGCCGTTATATATAGACTACTGGCGGCCATTAATGAGGTCATGAGGGTTCAATTTGGGCTTCAAAAAAGGAGGCTAGACCATCTCCAACGGAACTCGAAGGGGCTGTATGCAGTCCGCCAACGTTTCAATCGGACGTGAAAAATCACGCTTAATTCCGGGAGTGTCACCCACGCATGACGCAGCCACGCTAATTTCTTTTTTAATTCTAAAAAATCGATTATTATTTCTAGAATTTTATTATTAATAATTAAGAATTAAT